TCCAGTCCAAACACAACAGACGGGGATGCAACAATCGACACAATGTCAAACTGACCCACTAGATATTAAACCAACCATACAAATATCAAGTCCTGTTAAACAAGAATTATCTTCACCTATTCAAGTACAAGTTCAAAGTGGCTCTCCTGCAGGACAGGTAGCCTCACCTAGAATGATTGGCAAGGGACCACAAAGGATTCAAAGCCCAGTGAACACTAATAACAATTCAAGTAAACAGATTGTCAGTCCTAACAGTAACACAAGTCCTTTAGTAAGTCCGAGACAAGGTGTAAAAAGACCTGCGTCTAGCCCAATTTGCAGACAAATTAATCGTAGTGATTTGTAAGTTTAATACTTTATCCTTAATCATTTTTATAAGTAGCATTTAATGTATCAATCATATTTATAAAATTCGTTTGTACATTTATTTTTACAGATTAGAGCAACAGTTAAAAATTGATCAAAATGGAGCGATAAATCCGGATGTGAATACACCATTTTTAAGCAAACGAGATGCTTGTAAACGACTTGTAAGGTATCATTGTTTAAACGAACAAGTACTTAGTCCGAAAGATTTGGCGAAAGCTGATGAGATATTTGAAGAAACTGCGAAACATCTATTAACAAAATTCAACTCTATGATGAACAAGTACACATACCTTCTTTTAATGGAAAGCATGGTATGTAAACAAAGTATAACATTTTTAAATAAAAACATATTGGCATTTTTATATTTGTAAATTAAGTTTTAAATATACAATAATTTACAAGATGATAGCATTGTATTATCTATATTTCTTGTTAATTTATTATAATTTATATATGATAAACCATATGAATACTTTGTATATGTATACAGGGTAGACTGAAAAATTTGATACAATGGCACACAAGTACTAGGAATGATAAAATAACTTTTTGTTATTCGAAGCCTCATTTTTAAGTCAATTGAATTTGAAAATCTATTGAGGGCAATTGCAACTGATTGATGCTTGATGCAACAAATTTCAATACAAAACCCCTATTTTCACTGTTTCTATGAACAATGCAATGTTAAATTCTATTATCAAAATTATTACACATACTCTTGGTGTTAACTATTAATTCCTCAAATTCAATGTTATTAGAAAATTAAGTTTTGCATGACAAAAATTTCTTCTATCCTTGACATATTTTGAGTTACAGAATTTCTCTAACCCCTTTTATACTACAATCCATACTCCATATTGTATTTGTGTATTATTTATTATGAAATGTGAATTGAAAATAAAATATCATTACAGCGGGAAGTGCGAACATCAGAGCTAATGATGATTGATAGAACTTTCGTTGCTGAAGAGCAGAGTATATTAAATAGGTTACGAGAACAAGAGGCTAAAGTTAATGGTACACTTTTTATTTCTACATATAATAAAGACTAAATTTTCACTAGTACTTTTTTAAAATAATGTTTACTCTTTTCTATTTTCAGAAGAATTTAAAAAGGAAGAAAAGCCATTGGTGCCAAAGGTTGAACCTGGTCTTACAGAAGAAGACAAACTATCCCCACCATTAACTAATGTATCTGTGAAACGTGAATTGGAAGATGACTTTCCGAGCGATGAAATGGAATGTAAACCAGTGATTAAATCAGCGAGTTGTACTAGTGGTGATTATGACGAGTGGGTAGAAATTCAAAAGGAACTTGGTGTATATCCATCTACCACGGACTCGTTCAAATGTAAAAATAGTAATAATAGTAGTAATAATAGTGCATGTGCTGTGGCTGTAACAAAATCGTCAAAAACTGAAAGAACACGAGCGAACGGTGAATGTCGTGCGAATGTACCAAGTGCGAGTGTTTCTGGAGTTCAAAACACAGTTGTAAAGGACAGTTGTGAGCAAGATAACACTCCAATCTTCGAAAGACGTTGGAGTAGCGCCACAGACCTTGAACGAGATCTGTTAGAAGATGCTGACAGTTTAGATGGACTGGTTTTACATTCTCAAACGCAATGTCCAGGCTCTCTTCACATAACTAATGAAAGTGGAAATGGTAATGAACACGATGATATTACCGCACAGGTACAATCTGCTATCGATAGCATTCTTAATCTTAAAAAACGTCCTACAAATACATTACCTGGCAGTAGTGGTAACAGTGCATCACAGTCCAGTGAATCAAAGGACACAGTGCTTGACCAAGCAGTCCGCAGCATTTTAGGCTCGTGACCCTCCTTTAATAAAGTATGTTAAACAAGTGAAGTTTATGGTGAACATCAAGCTAATAATTGTTCGTTTTGAAAATTTTCGAAAGACTATACATTCATTTCGGTGATTTTTGTGGTTAACGTGAATAATATATAAACTATTATGACATTAAGAATGCAACATTGTTTTTTGGTAATGCATATCTAAAATCACGCAGATCGTTGCTAAATTATTTGTACAAAAATCATGCAGCCTTAATTTCATTTATATATATAAATTAAAAGAGACTAACTGGATTATGCAATTTTACATTTTTCTCCAAAGTTTTGTTCTGCAATGGCAATAACTATTCGTAATATAAAAATATGTATACTTTCCAGTAGTCTAGCTGTAATAAAGCCATCGCGTTTACCTAATTCTAGCAGCTGTACATGTGGATAGATAGAGAGATAGATCGATAGATAGATAGTTAGATAAATAAATAGATAATTCGCTCAGATTTTTCAATCTGCCACTTTGTAATGTAATTTTGTAAAAAGTAATTATTTAAAAACAACTTATTCCACTTTGTCTGTAGTACTTGTAGAGAAAATCTTGCGAATACTTAAAACTGGGTCGGTAAATTGTACATACGTTTTTAACGTGTATTATTAATATTATTATTACTATTATTTGTATTATTGTTATTGAGATTCACTCTCAGAATTATTATTGTATTATTATTATTAATATTATTATTATATTATAATAATTATTATTACTATTATTGTCAACAATACCATTGTCTCAAATAATGAGGGATGTATGGTATAAAGAGAAAGTAGTGGTTTAAGAGACTGAAATGGAAGACAATGATGAAAAAGCATAGAAGGCAAATGATATATAAGGTGAAAAGGGAACACAAAACCTCTATATTAATTTGAATTCATTTCTATTTAATGTATATGCAGTCTTAAATGTTAAAGTGCAAAATCAAACAGGCAACCGTTTTTTAAGTAGATATAGTATTTTACAACTTTTTTGTCATCACATGAAATCACAATAGATCTGGGTAAACGATGAATACATGTGTAGAGAGCACATGTGTGGAAAAAGGGTAAACCCACATTGGTAACATTTCAAACAAATGATAGATATCCGGTGAGTAAGATTTAGAAAGCAAATCTTTCTATATGTGCCTTTTTATTTTTTACATAGTTGATGACTAATATATCATGTATGTACACCTGACTCGTAACTTTGATTCACTCGATTCTATTATGTCGAATAATGAATACAAATTCTTTTTAATCGATGAATTAAACATACAAAATAATGATCTGAATTAATCAGTTTCAAAGTGTCCCACTAATTACAAAAATAATTGTTCATCGCCGACAGTGCTTTTGCAAGGAAAATTTAGTTATGTCACAGTATTTTTGCATCCTTTTCCCACATAAATTCATGATAGCTCTCTATACATAGAGGCAATGTAATGTTTTTGGCAAAAGCAATCCAAGACTGACGTATATACAGAGAATCAAGCAAAACTATGTAATGTATTACAATAAGAAATAATCATTTGTACATAATATTCAATTACACTCTCGACGGCAATCGTGACTTAATGAATTCTTCAAAGATTTTAAAATTTGGATATGCTAAAGTTCTTTTGATCCTAATAAATTGCCGATATTTCACGAGCTCGTGTACGAAAATATTTTTATCCTTGCCTGTTTTAAGATTTTAATTTGCAGCATGGAATTTGATTTTCAGTACTAACAATTATTCATAATAGTGTAAAATGCCTAACGAGAGTGAAGTGGTTAATATGATAAAATGTAATTATTATTATCAATTACATGATTTTAGACATCATGAATATCTTATGGTAAACATATTCCTTTCCTATCACAATACCATGGAATTGTTAATGTTCCATTGTAACTGCAAGATTAGGTGCCTTATGATACAATATTCAGTAAACTTTTTTACCCTGTCAGCTATACAGTATTTTAATACTATATAGAGACAAACAAAATAATTGAGTATTACACATAGTTCAAAATAATTGTGTGCATTTGTACTATAACAAAGTATTATTAGTTGCATTATCCTTTCAAACTATATAATTTTCATGAACTATCGTATCCGTAATACTATACTAAGACATTTTTTAACAAATGCTTGAATGTGCTTTATATGTCTGCCTTATGTGAAACTGCATGTTTTGTACGTGTACCTACATATCAATTTATACCAAAGAATACAAAATTAATTCAAATTGAACTGTAATGTAAATGATGGTATTCGTAGCAGCAATTAGAATAGATTTTAAATTAAATTTTCCTTGTGTGGGTACACTGTGACATCTGCTTTTGAATTACATTGACTATTGCTTTAAAAACATGTAATTGCATAAAAAAATGTACATGATAGAATTCAAATACCATCTACAAGTGATATAAAAAATTGGTGCATGTAGATTAAAAAGGATATTAAGTACATATATCCAAAAAAATATGAAAAACAAATTTTAAATGTGTTACGTTTACTAAAAATATATCATCCATTTTTATAATTTTTTAATGTTGTAGTAGAAAAAAATATTATAAAGGTAAGTTTAAATAAAAATGTATGTTGTAAAATAAATGAATACAGTGAAATTTGTAAATAAAAAATGCATATTCCAAGAACGATTTATCCGATAATTTAAAAGAATATTCATGTAAAAATTGCCAAAGTATCTAAATATTTCGAATTTTTAATTATTTTTTTGGACACTGTTATATAGAACAGCATGTGTGTATAATATGATTTGTGTACATGTGTAAGTGGATACTTCAGCGACATGCTGCGTGATTTCTAGTGACCTCTTGTAATTGCATGTGTGTGCAATACATTAGCGCATTTGTTACACGTATAAATGTACCTGTTTGTAAATAATTTTTGTTATGTGTAAAATTTAGTGCATGAAGCAAAATAATTTCCAGAGATGACTATAAAAGTCCCCGAACATGAAATAAACAATCCTACCGAAAATGACCCGTACGAAGTGGAAAAGTGTAGTAAATGGATTGATGCGTGTAATTTAAATAAGGTTTGAATGATTTATCTATGAGATGGATATTTTATCACTTAGAATCGTAAGATTAAATTGTAATGAAATATTTCATTTCCACATTTATTTTACTTCCTAAATCATATTAAAAAGACTTCTGAAGGTTAAGTGAATCTATCATATTTTCAGTCGTTATTGTGCTTATAAATAATATGTAATATTTTACACTGACTAAGTAGATACTTATTAGTATCTATAAAAAGTTTAATTTAAGGAATATATAATACTTTTAGGTGTGTTTACAATTTCCTGATAACCTATTACCTGATTCTGCACAAATTGCACTACGTTTGGAAAAACTTATCAACAAAAAAGTATACATTTTGGGAGATACTTCTTGCGGTAGTTGTTGCGTTGATGAAATAACAGCTCAGCATATCAATGCGGATGGTATAATACATTTTGGTCATGCTTGTTTAAATCCTACTGGTAGGTTACCAGTATTTCATGTTTTACCAAAGACAGAAATCGAGATAAATGATGTTATTAACAAATTTAAATCTAATTTTGAAGATAAATCAAAAAGAATATTATTTTTTTATGATGTTGCTTATGCATATAAAATTGGTGAGTTCTATAATAATGTTAAATATTAATTGCATTAAATTCATTCAAATGTTATCATAAATATAATTTAATTACAGAATGTATACAAGCATCATTACGTCCTTTTTATAAGAATTTAATTTTTACTTCATTAAATTGTACTTCTAATGTAGAATTCACAGATATGAAAGATGTTTCGTCTATAATATTCTTGGGTAGAAGTTTTATGTTAGAAAACAACTTCAAAATAGAAGAATATGAGGCATTTTTCCTTGGAAGTGGTGAAAAAACATTTACTACATTAGCGATATCAATTCCTGCTAAAAAATGGTATTATTTTGAAAATAATACTGTTATTGAATCCCAAGCTTTAAATACTCCTTGGTTAAAAAGGAGGAAGTTCTTAGTTGAAAAATTAAAAGATGCTAAAGTGGTTGGGATAGTCGTAGCCACATTAGGAATTAAAGATTATTTGAAAATATTAACAATGATTAAAAATATTCTTAAAGAAAAAAAGAAAAAATCTTACATTCTAAGTGTAGGTAAAATCAACCCAATGAAACTTGCTAATTTTCCAGAGGTATGTAAGTAATGATAGTGCAAATTTAAATTTAAAACAATAATATTTTTGAAATGTGTTGCACATTTGCAGATTGATGTTTTTGTGGTAATATCATGTCCTGAAAATGAAGTGTTCGATTCTAGAGAGTTTTTTAAACCAATACTTACACCTTATGAAGTAGAATTAGCATTTAACAATTCAAGAGACATATGCACAAAGTATTGTATGGATTTCCGACAAATATTACCTGGAGGATTGAATTATGTTGATTTTAAAGCAGCAGCTGATTCAGATATTTCTTTGCTTACTGGTAAACTTAGAAATTGCGATGAAAATCTTTGTGCAGATAAAATGAACGTATTAGCAATTAAAGATTCAGGTATATATGTTGTAAGAATTCTTTCAGTGTACATCAATGAATGTTCGTTTAATAATATTATTTTCATGAAATTAGGTGTTGTCGCAATTGGGAAAGCAGGAGCAGAATTTTTACATAATAGATCTTGGAAAGGGGTTGAACAAAGATTAGGAAAAGATGCAGTACATTCAGCACAAATTGGACGATCTGGTTTACCCAACAGTTATGATAGTGAACCTTCTACGCAAACAAAATAATAATTAAACATAATAAATGGAACGATACTATTTCATCGTGAAAATTGAAATTTTGAAGTACAATATACCAATATACCAACATAGTTTTATACAGATGTAAGAGCATATTGTTTACTTAATATTATTTTCACGTCTATAATTTATCATTACGGGTTTAAGAATTTAAATGATTTCTATAAATTTATATGACGTAAACATAATAGATATGTAGTAACGTATTTCTCAATCAGAACACGTGTCGCATTGATGACGTAAACGCAAAGCGAGATATCGAAATTCCTATACGATCAGCTGTGCTCTGTCATATCGCGCAATGCTAATACACGGTGATGGTGAATTGTACTTTCAAGTATCGTGGATAATGTAAAAATATTTTCAAAAATGAATTTATATTTGGATAATAATAAATTCCCGTATAAAATTTTTACTATTAGTATAATTTTACTCGTTTTTGGTACTCGTATCGTGTCATCAGAAGCAGAAGAATTTTCTAACCTCAAACATGACAATGTCACGTTGGATAATAAGAATATTATGTTACATGATACACAAACAAACTTGACTATTAATACTTCTATAGAATTACATGCATCTGAAAAATCTGGTAACAACAGTTTGAATATAAATACCATTGTATTAAATGTAACAGATACCAAATCTCAAACTATATCCACAAGTACAGTCCGATTGGATCATGACATTAATAATGAGACCACAGAAAAAGTTATTACTGTCACAACGAATAATGTTAATGACAGAAATGGAAGTACCATACCAGATTTTACTATATCATCGCAAAGCCCAGATGTCAGCAATGTAACGAATGCAAGTACAACAACTATTACTCCAGCAGAACCTGTATTGCCTGACAAGGGATCCGCAGAAGAAGAACATAATAGTTCTATGTCCATATTTTTTGTCTTGTGTGTGTTAGCCTTGGGCATTTTACTTATACATCTAATGCTACAAACAAATTTTCAATATCTACCTGAATCAGTGGTAATCGTTTTCTTAGGAGGAGCTATCGGCATGATCATAAATCTTATGTCAAATCAAAACATAGCTAATTGGAGAAAGGAAGAAGCTTTTTCTCCAACTGCTTTTTTCCTTGTACTTCTTCCACCAATCATATTTGAATCAGGATATAATTTACACAAAGGAAACTTTTTTCAAAACATTGGTAGTATTTTGGTTTTTGCTATATTTGGTACAGCAATATCAGCATTTGTCATTGGTGCTGGAATATATCTATTAGGATTAGCTCAAGTAGCATACAAACTCAGTTTTGTTGAAAGTTTTGCATTTGGATCGTTAATATCTGCGGTAGATCCTGTTGCCACTGTAGCTATATTTCATGCCTTAGATGTAGATCCAGTATTAAACATGTTAGTCTTTGGAGAATCTATCTTAAATGATGCAATTTCTATTGTATTAACCACATCTGTATTGGAATCTAATAATGCAGCAACCACTAGTGAAGCCATCATTCTTGGCTTAAATAGATTTTGTCTCATGTTTTTTGCTTCTGCGGGCATTGGAGTTGTTTTTGCTCTTACAAGTGCATTGTTACTGAAACATGTGGATCTTAGAAAAAATCCATCTCTTGAGTTTGGTCTTATGTTGGTGTTTACTTATGCGCCATATGTATTGGCAGAAGGTATTCAATTATCTGGTAAGATTTTTAACATTTAAATTTATTGTTACTCTATTGTAAAGAAATAAGTAAAAAATAAATTAAACAATTATGTTCTATAAATCTATGAAATATAAAATAATTAATTAATTATGTTTTAGGCATCATGGCAATTTTGTTTAATGGAATAGTAATGTCGCATTACACTCATTTTAATTTATCAACTGTCACTCAAATTACAATGCAACAAACGATGAGAACTTTGGCGTTTATTGCTGAAACTTGTGTCTTTGCATACTTGGGGCTAGCATTATTCAGCTTTAGACATAGAGTAAAACATTATCTACTTAATAATATTTTCATTTTATTTACGTTGCTTTAATACAATAATTTTATTTTAATTATAGGTTGAACCTGCATTAGTTGTTTGGTCTATAATTCTCTGTCTTATTGGTAGAGCTGCGAATATTTTTCCATTAGCTCTTCTTGTTAATCGTTTTCGGGAACACCAGATCACCAGGAAAATGATGTTTATAATGTGGTTTAGTGGTTTGCGGGGTGCTATTTCGTATGCATTGTCACTTCATTTGGATTTCAGTGATGAAACAAGACATGTGATCATTACAACTACATTAATTATTGTGTTGTTCACAACATTAATATTCGGCGGTTCTACTATGCCATTGTTAAAGTTCTTACGAGCTGAAAAGAAACAAAAGAATAACAGTAGAAGAAAGAGAAAAGATAAAGAAGTGTCTTTAAGTAAAACTAGAGAATGGGTAAGTTAATGAATATTTAAATGTGTGAGACTAAAAAAAATATATATCTGCTTAGGTATACAACATGTAATGTACTTTTATTACAGGGTCAAACAATAGATTCTGAACATCTATCAGAACTTACAGAAGAAGAAATTGAAGTATCTTTTCTTCAATCACGAATTCGTGGTTTTGCAAGATGGGATTTAAAGTTTTTTATTCCTTTTTTCACAAGAAGGTTTACTCAACAAGAATTGAAGGATTGTAAATCACAAATGACAGATCTAACAAATCAATGGTATCAAGCTATTCGAATAAGTCCTATGGAATCAGATGATGATGTAACTACTGCATCAACGGCACAATTAAATATAAATTTATCTGGAGAAAGTAGAACTCAAATTCATGGAAAACAAAGCAAAGGACGTCCAAGTCACGGGTCTATATTAAGTATATAATTTATTATTGTGTGGTATGCTACGTGTGCTACCAATGCTATGCTTATATGTGAATGCACATAAGCGTTTATTGATAGTATTGTTCACTAGAACAAAAAAAGAATATTTTCTATGATTGCAAACAGGGTTTGTTTAACTTTCTTAATTTATATTCAAATGAATCAGTATTGTTGTATATAGCACGTGGTAAGATATTGTTTTCAAGAAAACTTAAACTACTAGTAAAGTGAAGGAATTTAATGGCTTCAAAAAATTGCTTGAAATTATGTAATTATACAAATTTAGCAGTTAAATTTATTTAATGTTTAAAATATTTGCTTTGCTGTCAGGGCTTATTGTTGGTGAGGGGCTGTATTTGAATTGCATTAAAATTTTGAATAATTTATAAATTTGTAATTGATTTACAGAGGGGATGAGGATTGGTCTGATTAGTAATGAAATATGTAGACAAATTTGAAGTACAGTTGTATCAAAACATGTCTGTTACATAAAACTTATATTATAGAAGTTAACACAACATCATTAATATGGTATTTGCGATTGATAAAGCAAGGCCATACACGAGGAGAGTTTAGTTCCTTTTTAAATGTGGAGAAGTATGTGATATTCTCAAAAAGATTTTAACTTCTGCACAAAAATAATGTATAACATATTAATTATATATATTTATTAATTTTTATATGCTAGTTACACCGCATATCATGCAACAAGTATTTGTATAAAATATAGGACTCCTATGGCACTAAAAAATTAATATTATGATAAGTGATAAACTTGGTTTCATGAAAGTAATATTTGATCTTTCAATTCGTAAAAATAATTCGATATTTATGTATATTATAAAATTAAAATTATTTTTAATGTATACAAGTGTATTATACACAAAGTGTGTTATAATAGGATATTTACTAAGATAGCTTTTAAATATTTTATCATGCTGAATATATATTCTTTATATGACTATATGAAATAATGTATATTTAAATAACAATGCTGTAAAACTTTTATTTTTAAACAAATTCTCATTAAAATGAGAATAAATGATTGAAACTTTATTCTTATAAATTTTATGGTTTCCTCTTATCATTTACTGTTTTTGTAAATATCCTATTACACTGTATATATTGTATGTACAATACATATATAATGTGCTGCATTAGCATCTTCGTACTATTAAGTATTATTTCTATCTGGATATATTTTATGTTTCAATTCACACGTTTATATTCTTTTAAAATGTCATAAAAACAATTTCATTTCTATCCGATAAAAATGATTTAACCATTTGAGTGGCATGGATAGACTAGCATTTTTAGATATTAAGCAAAAGAGAAGCGCGATTATGTCTCTTGGCACTCAAACGGTAAAGGAATGGAATAACGCCCAATTTTCCCAAATTCTCTTGTATAGTATTATAAATTAAAGCAAATGCAAATTTTCGTTTTCTTGCAGTAAAGTATTATTTTGTCATATGAAACGAAATTATCATATTTAATTGTAATTCATTACTAAATAAAAAAGGCCAGAATGAAATGTTTCTTCTATTAGCTAATTTATTAGTTCAACAGTAATCCTACAATTTACTCTCCGTACGGAAACATCAATGATTCGTATATAGATAATAAGAATGATATAGTTTGTATAATAAACAATTGATTCCAAAGCAAACAAGATTTCTTGTGAAATCCGTAAACAATGACAGGGATGGAACGAGATAAAGAAAAAAACCCACGTTGCTTGCTTTATTTTACTGTGAATTTATTTTTGATATCATATACCGATTTCAGGAGGTGGGTAAGTGGATCTGTTATCTTATTTTTCTGCGGCAGAGCACATAACGGAGGCAGCGTCTAAAACATCAAATCCGTTTATTTGTTCGACTCGTTATCGCTATTTTTTTTTTATGTCCTACGACTTCTTCTTATGCCTCATTTGATCGTACATCAAATGACTGGAGCATGAGGCACGTTTCTCGTTATATAAATTACAATGTTTTGTAAGTTCGAGTTCAAACTCACTAAACAGGTTCGGGTTCGTCGAGGAAGAAAAGATTTCTCTTTACAAGGGTTAGGGGCACTTTTCATCATTTTAAATCTGTAACTTCGATAAAAGCATACATTTCCTTTTTTCTTTTTTTCCTTTTTTACTAATGGTCGCAATTCAAATCCTATTTAGTCGAACGCTAATAATATATCGAAGAATGTTATTACCCTTCTTAAGTATTCGAGTATTGTCTATAAGCATATTAGAACACACTTGCCTCCCGTTCATCGATGCTCCAGTCAATTTTAAGTTAGTACATGTATCTTCTGCGCGGTGGTCGTTTTTTGCGCATTGGATTACCGTCCAATAAAGTTCTAAAAATTGATCATCACGTATTAGGAGCGCCTACACACGCTCTTATCCAATAGTTATACTGTTATTAATGCTCAAAGTACATCGGTGTGTATTATGTACAACATCGAGCAATCAGCTAAGCATGCAGAGTTAAATGATCGCTACATCGCTATGATCAATATGACTATGTACCCAGTCAGTAAGATTAGAATATATATACTCAGATCTCATCGATTTATTACAGGCGAGCAGCTCCAGAGAATTATAAACCTTTATCGGATACGCAGCGTGTATAATCCGTTGGAGCCGAAATTTTCTTTCTCGACGTTCGTTTAGATTCGTCGACTTTTAATGTAGACGCTCCGGTCTAAAAACGTGTAAAACCCC